GGACGCTCGCTCGGTGAGGGCCCGGGGATCAGGCGGAGTAGATAAGGTAAGACGCTCAAGTCAAACCATAATACCGAGGACCATACCCTGCGCACCTACATGGACGGTGCCACCAAGCCATGCCAGATGGGCACTATACAACCTAACAGGCGTGTCAGAACACAAACAGTATTGTAGGCGCCGACGTTTGCCATACCAGGCGAACACGGTAGAGCCTGCCACATGTATCTGGACATAAACAATATTGTGGGCGCCGACGACCGTCTCGGACCCGACAGCGTGGGCAACAAGACAAGATAGCACACGTATACATTCTCTCTCTTTCTCTAACTTGTAAGGTCATCCTCTTTGACTAAAAAAGGAGATGAGCTCTCTCTCTAAAAGCTCTCGCTGGCTCTCTTGCTCTCCTTAAAAAAGAGAAGCTACATGATTCGAGCACTCGAGGACCTAAGAACTCGAATAGCTCAATAGCTCTAGAACTCTAAAGCTGCATGGAGCATACGCTCCAATACTTAGCGCACATTAGAGCCCCGTCACTCTCGGCCCTTTAACATCCCCCTTCTTATTTCTATTCGTTTGTAACCCCACAGTAAACTTCGAGCACCTGGGCTCAGGAATAAAGTCACCGACCGATTAAAACTAGACGTAGGGCACGTTGCCTGAACTAGTATAAATCCTGTGTCATTGAGTGCTTGGCCACATCCGATCACAACGCACGGCAAAACTACAAATATTTACTCGTTGGTCACTTTTCACACCGACGGTACCAGATGGCTAGAGTTTGAAGGAATTAGGCCTGTGATCAAACAGTCAGTTGTCCCTGTAGAGTTAGAGTCTTCACCTGAAGATCGGAGTTGTCTTTCCGCTGTTTGCTATCTAAGGTTATATTCTTTATACTAAGTACGTTATATATTGAGCATTGTCTTTTGATATTACCCTTATTTGTAGTAATATGTGAGATTTGACTTCCTGGGTTCACATATGGTGTGTATCTGATTTTGTTCTTAAAACCGGGTGCTACAAATGATATATAGATTCCTGGTGTTTTTCCCCTATATATAACATATATGGGTTTTTCTCTATATTGCCAGATAGTTCTTTTGGTTGTATTTTCCCATTAATCATATAAAAATATCAGCCAGACTATTTAATATTGCTAACATATAACATTTATCTTCTCTTCTATTGTTATATTGAAACCAAAAATTATCTAGAATACATTCTTGTATTTCATCCAAAACAATATGGTCTCGTGGCTTGAATTTATATGTATTTGGTGGAAAAATTCTTAACTTATTTTCAGTACCAAAACTGAAATATTCACTCCCACTAGAGCTAGCTTCTTTCTTCATTCCCGTAAAATAGATGATCGTGAAAATATATCAGGTAAGGTATTATCTTTACCCTTTATATGCTCAAAAATTATTTTATAACCATTTTCAGTAATAATATCTTCAAATAATACCCATCGCCTAGTTGAACTTTTCTTACTATTGACTTTATTATAGTATCTGCATATAGCTTCATAGTCTGTCCTTACTGTAAACTCTTTAAATCCTATATATAATCTAAAAACATTTATTGCATTAATAACAGCTAAAATTTTCCTATCCGTATTTTTTATTGCTTTTAGCTTATATTTTTCTGAAGCGTATCTACATATTTTTTTCTTCTGATTTTGGCGAATACTTGTGTGGCTTTTGTTTTAGTATTGCTCCCCATCCTAACTCAGATGCATCTGTCTCTATAATAAAATAATTATCATCTAAAGGTAATTCAAGGGGTTTTAAATCCTTAACATTTTCTTTAATAGTCCTTAATAACTTTATATCTTTAGAATTAAAATGTTTTTGCTCATTTTTTCTTAATTTTGCATACAATGGACGAGCTAATTTAGCTAAATTTTCAATATAATTTCTAGCATAATTTACTATTCCTAAGAATTGTTGTAGGGTTTTCTTATCATTCATGACATCTGGAAATTGTAAGATTTTCTTTGCAATATGATCTTGTAAATAAATTTCTCCCTCTCCTATTTCATGACTAAAAAATTTATCTTTTCCCTGCATATCTCCATTTTCTTTTTAGACAGTATTAACCCATGTTGTTCTACTTTTCTAAAGAACGTTTCCAAATGAGCTATATGCTCTTTGTAGGATTTTGAGAAAACTAATAAGTCGTCAATATAAACTAATATGAATTCTTGATTTTCATTAAATTTTTTTGCATTTTTCTTTGAAATAAAGCAGGGGTATTTTTTAATCCTAAGGGCATTACTAACCATTCAAAATAACCTTGAGGACATGTGAAAGCAGTCCATTCTATTGATTCTTCTGCCATTTTTACTTGCCAAAACCTAGCCTTTAAATCAAATTTTGAGAAATATTTACTCCCTTGTATTCTATTTATCCATTCTTGTTTATTTGGGATATTATATCCATCATCTATAGTATTATCATTTAGTCTTTTATAATTAATAACCATTCTTGACTTTTCTCTAGCTATTTCAGCATGATTTCTAACTATAAATTTTATATTATTATATCATTCGGCAAAACAACTTATCATGTAGCAAGCAGTCGAATAACCATCTTGTATATCACAGAGATATTGCATTTACCAAAAACACAATACACATAAACTCTTACTCACAAATTCGGTCATGGTCTAGCTACCATAATAATGTTTAATAGATGACTTTGGCAAAATCTAATAAAGACCGAATTTTAAGCTGTATGCAAAAACAAACTCTGCTGAGCAGGCTCAAATAATTCATTATTATTACTTCTTCTGAACCAGCACAAGCATGCTATCCAGTTGCAATCCTTCATACAAGATTTATCCAATGCATCAAAATCTGAAAGCCATGACAGACTAATGCATTGGCTATATTATTTTTATTTTCTCAGAACATGCTTGCATGGTACAGCAGCCAAATCTTATATTTGATTCTCTTTTTTACCTCGGTCGATATTAAATTGTATATCGGCCAAAATTTGCTCGAGAGACAATGATGAACCATGACCCCATATTTTCACTCCAGAGGCAACGATGAACCATCAGCCATATATATGCATATGTAAGCAAAAATAGGGTCACAATGGTTGGAATGGTTCCAAGTATGCCCTACTGATAGCTTTAATTTTTATTGTTATTCAGCAAAATGAACTATCAAGTATCAATTTGTTTTAAGAAATAGCCGAATAACCACCTCATACATCATATAGTCCGGTCATCCATATTTTTCATGTATAACAAAAGCAAACTAACTATCCCTAACCGAACTCTTGGTCTATATAATGTTTACCTACTCTAAGGGCAACGATGAACAATGACCCTGCATTTTCACTCTAACAGCAACGATGGACTAGCATCGGCCATATATATAAGCAAATATATGAGGGTTGTATCAATGGCTTGAATGATTTCAAGTATGCCCTGTTAATAGTTCTAAAATGTTAATAATTATTACTCGGCAAAAACAATCCACCACGTATGTAGCAAGCAGCCGAATAACCATCTTGTATATCATATAGCTAGTTCGGTCACCAATAATTTGTAAGTATAACAATGCACCCTTACTAAACCTGACCGAACACTTAGTCCACATAATATTTCACCTATTCTAAAGGCAAAAGTAATAACATTAGTTGCACACTTTAATTTTAACTGCGATAAATAAATTATCGACCAAGCACTTGTTCTTAGGGCAATGAAACAGTAACCATCAGCCATGTATATATTTCTTTTCAACACACCAATGCAACCGAAATATAGTTCTAGCAGCTCCTATTGATACATAGCTTGTATCTTAATCAATTATTTCGGTGTATTTAACATTCGAACATGCATGCTAAATAAACAGAATATACATACTGATCACTTAATCACAGATCAGGCCAATTAATTAGCAAGTAATGATCTAATCCGGCCAAAATAATGTTTAATAAATAGACCGATTAACCATTAACTTGTCAATGTAACTTGGCCTAAACTATATCTCATTTTTATCAATACAAATTAATATGACTACAAGCAATATAATAATTTTAGCTTCCTCAGGATGATGACAAACAAAGCATCGGCCTTAATTTAGGTGTTATAGTTTAGCTCATAACAAAACATATCCATACCTTTGTGATGCGGAGTACCATGTTAGTTCGATGATGAACCTCCATCGACCAAGCTTCTATTTTCATCATCGCTAGGGAACTCCTTCACTTGTTTTGGCCTCCACATCTTCTTAATGGACACCACAGTCTTATTCTTGTCAAATCCCAAATCAAGCAATTTTTTGACTTGTTCTTCCTTAAGTTCTATGGCTCGAAGTCGTTGCACCCGTCTCTTTTGTGTATGCGTAAGACCTGCCGGGCACCACTGAGGTTTGGGGTGAATTCCTCGTGTAACTGACTTGATGCTCCTACCCCCCAAGTTTCTTGACCTGTAGCGAGGTGCTGCTATTTTCGGCCTAAACCTGATGCCTTCAGCCGAAAATGTTCTCTGTTGATCAGATATGGCTCCAGACCAAATTTCCTTGCTGCTGCTACTTTCTGAACTCTTTTGCTGCATAGGCATGCCGGTGTTCAATTTACAGCCTGCAGAGAACACATCCTTGGGGATCCCTGTGCTACGGCTGTACTGGACGATTCAGGCTTCTGACTAGTACTAGTAATCGCAACTCGCTTCTCCGAATTGTTATGTAAATCACACTCTGAATTACAAGACTCTTGATACTGTTGTCGTGCACCATCACTAGACCCCTCTGCTCTAGGAATCTATTTATTAACTGAGCCAAATCCTAATCCGGCAACATTGCTTGTTTCTGAATTATGAACACCACCTACAACAGATTTGAAATCGCCTATTTTCAGATCATGAGCAGCACCTGGCCCATCTGAACATGTCATAGGTTGATTAGCTCCACCCATGTCACATGATTTTGAATCCTTTGTGTGACACCTAGGTTTGACCGGCACCCACTTAAATTGCTGCTTGCCTATTCAAATCAGCCCATCAGCATTCCACTTGGGCAGCCCATCAGCACTAGATACTCCGTGATCGGCATCATGCCTAGGCGACGTCCTCCTAGCACCCAGAATATGATTGCTCATTTCTGGATTTCTAATAGCAATATCACTGCATGAACTAAAAGATTCACTGACCAGAATCTCTTCTCCATCATGAACAAATATTGTGTCTCTTGGCCGGTAACCTTGATCTGAAAACCGTCCAGTGCCTTGCTGCTGTAACAAGCTCCTCTTCCTGTGTACTTGCTGCCCAAACAGCTGCCCTGCAGGTTGCCAACCATGATGGAGGAGATGCACATTTTCTGTGAAGTCCGGATTATGGTAGTTAAACCCACGTGATGGATATGACATTGGCATATTAGGTGGACATTCCCGGTACATATACTCCATTGGAAAATATGGCATTTGTGTGTACTCATTTTCTTGCAAATTCTTGTAATCATCAAAATATCGCCTAGAAAAAGATTTAGTATGCCTGAAATAATTAGGCCGATTAGAACCTTTGTCGGCCTTTTCTTTTTCATATTTAGCCAGCTGTTGGAATGTCACCTTCGGCTTTTTTGATTTCATAGCGCTAGGGACAGATGTTTGGGACTCACTCCTAATATCTTTTGCTAATTTTAGGGACCCAAACCATTTTCTTCTTTTGGCTCACAACTTTGCTAGGCTTTTAGATCTTATCATGAAAAAGGTCACTGTTGATTTCAGTAGACAACGGTACTTTCTTGCCTTTCGTTGAGGCTGCCTGTTCTAGCCGAATCAACACATTTTTATCCTCAAAATTAATTACATGTTTGGGGTTAGGTTTTTCAATTGACCTGTGCCCCCCAATCTCTTGAGGATCTATAGAATCCAGTCGACCTTTGACAATAGCCGACTGAACACTGTTTGATGCCTCAGAATTACATTCTTTCACATTGCTAACATCGGTCTTTTTATCTTTACTAATTTTTAGATTTTTATCACTAGTTTTAACACTGCCCGAATTACTCTCTGATTCGGCTATCTGAACCTTGCTTGAACTTGCATTATTTGATAACTCAGAAGCGTATTTGATCCCATTAAAATCAAACTCTTTTATTTTATCAGTTATCAATTTCATATTTCTAGTAGCAAAATTATCATAAAACATGTCTCTTAATTGTGAGAAAGCATATATTGACTTTGGAACAGATAAGGTGGAGTTCACAAAAATGTTATTGCCTAGGACATATAACCGAGAACTCCTTGGATAATCACTGGATTTATCTAATATAAACACTTGATTAAATTGAGAAATAGGCAATGTATTTGCGATCCGTACCTCTTTGAATTTGGTGGAGGAAAGTGATCTACTTACCTCGGTGCTAGGTGAAGCAGAGTGGTCTGATGTAGCTACCTTTTTTATGACGCCATTCTCCGTCTTTTGAAGGCCTGCTAATTTTCTCTGTAGACTCTCCTACCTCTCTTCCTCGAGCTCCCGTTGCATTTCCCGCCATCTATCTTTAGATAGATCGTCGAGCGTGACGGCGATGGCATTGTCGGGATCGATTGCAGCCACCTCGCTCTCTTCTTCATGTTTTTGCATAGCCAGATGTGTGTCTTCTAATATAATAGAATCAGAATAAGTATTGTTTTCTTCGGCTTTTTCAATAACCAAATTATCATTCATATCCGAATCAATTTTATTTTCTTTTAAGCTTGCACGAGGTTTGAAACCACATTCTATAAGAATCCTGTCAACTAGGTTCTTACAAAATTGAGATGGCTCTAGAGAATTAGGTTGTGGCACAGATGCAACATAGGTATGTGATTGTAACTCCTGCAAAGAGGGTTGAGCATGCAATGTCTGCTGCGGAGATACATTAGAATACACATTTGGAACCGGCTTACACGGAACCCCGGTACCTATAGGTGGCGAAGGTGGTGTGCTGCATGCTACTTCTTGATAAAAAGGTTGTTGCATGTTAGAACTAAAGCCAACACTTCGGTTATATATGCCAAGATTTTGTGAAACCGAAGTTAAGACAGTAGAATTATTATTGTTAGGTACAAAACAATTGGCCGAATAAGCATTATTATTCTGGCCACCATGATTATACAATGGCATGTGCATTTGTGATGATATAGGCGTCATAAACATTGCCGATGTGCTAGAATCGAAAAAAATCTTGTTGCATATTGCTAGTATGATTAAAACTCGTATTCTGCATAGGCTCTATATAATTATGAGACTGGTAATTTGGGTGTACCAAACATCCATCTAAATGATTAATAGCCGATGCAATAGGTCTATCAACATGCCTAACAACATGACTATATGAATCCATCGTAGCTGCAAACAAAATACCCTACTTACATATTACGCTGGCGTGGATGAACGAAACTGGTGATGATGTCGTGCTCAGCTGGAACCAGCGCCTGTAGTTTTCTGTTATGGAAGAACGTGCTGCTGGTTTCTCTCTGTTGCTTTGGCTTGCTTCTTGAAAATCGATGTGTTGAAGATTAGCCAAATCAAACTTGGACGTCGGCCTTTGACGAAGTTACTGGTGGCGTCTTGATAGATGGCCGATGAATCAACGGTACTATCGGCCTCGTGTTTCTTGATAAAGATTTCCATCCCCAACGGAGTCGCCAATTGTGTTGGCACGTGAAATTGATCCGCGCAACAACACAATAACTATCGTACTTTCGCGACGATGAGCGACTAGTTTTCAAGACAAGCTAGCAAAGGAGGTCCTCGCCTTCGTGGAGGAGAGCCAACTGTTTGTAGCGCAAAACGGCAAAGATTACCAAACTCTAATGGAGATTAGGGTTCGGCATGAACTACTGTCCTAAGGTAGAAGAAAGAACAAATAACGATGAAAAATAGTAGATGTATTATGTCAATTGGCTAGAGAGAGCCCAAAACAATCGGCCAGTCACCCTTTATAGGGCGCACCAGGTCTGCGGTGTACGTACACAGGTCCAACTATACAATGTTAAACGTATCTTATGAGACATCCAATCGGCCGTATATTGGAAACCTGGCCGAATACGTAGTTTATTCTAAATAGGAAACCTTCCCACGTAACTGAATTGAGTCCAAACTAAACACGTACAAGGTCCACATATTTCCTTCTTGATGAGAATTTCTCTCCCCAGATTCATTCCTGATCACATCATGCATGTAGTAGTAGATAATATATAATTTTGTCCTTGCAACTTCTTGAGAAGAAATCCACGTCTTTTCCTCACGCCTAGCGGCGCGCTGAGCCTCCATTGTCTACTATAAATCCTCGTGATGAGCACCACTCCAAATATGCATGGCACTCCTATCTGATCTGGCTCTTCAAGATGCAAAACCTCACACAAGCATGCACGTTTGACCTACTGGTAAAAATAATTTGGCCACCTGACGATCTCCACCATTGATATGCATCGTCTTGCGCCACGCATCAACCAAGCCTGCTTCCAACCTGTCAAAACTCTTAAGCAATGCGTGTTTCTGCTGATTGACATGACTACTATTAGTTAAAGCAATTTGGCTGATCAAATAAACTAACTTGCCAAATTACATTATCAACAAGTCTGAATGTGAAATGGCTGTTTTTTAGTCAGTTAGTGTGAATATGAATCGAAGTCTGAACTCCTGCTTTTAGCCAGATACTGTGAACATGAATCAAATTGTGAACTCTCTCTGCATGATAGTGTGTACTCTGCACATTATAAAGGGAAGGAGGTGCAGGATTGTGTGAACTCATGCAAAGCTTCCTTTCTAAACAGTACAAAATGGATGTGGCGTAGAAACTACTGACACCACTTCTATTTCCTATCTCCGATAAAAAAAATGTCGCATAAACTTGGCCACATGCAACACCATGGTATACAGAAATCTATTTATAATTAATCTTAGTTACATACAAAGCATTAAATAACTTGTAAACAATGAAATAGACCATGAGTTGTATGTCCTGTATTTTTACTTGTCTGTATGATAAAATCAAGGGACTTATAAACGACCCCTGTCTCTGGGCTGTACATGCCCTTAAGAGTTTGTGAGGCAAATTATCTGGTTTAGAATTGTGTAGGATAAAAGTTGGACTTCAGCAATGGTTTAGGGAGGCTTTTGCTTCCCCTCCCAACGCCCAATTTATTTAGGCCCATAAGCCCAGAAAACTTATTCGTAGTTGGGCGGTGGAAGCCGGGCCTTAAACGGTAGTGGAGGCCCAATTGACCAATTGTGGAGGAGTCCGGCGGTGGATTCGGCCTTAACGGTCACCGCTACCGTGCACCGCACTCCGCAGTATGGCTCGCCGACTGTGCCGTCTCTCTCGCCTCTTTCCCCTCGTCTCCTCCGCATCCGCCTCCACCTCCGCCGCCCCGAGACCTCGCCACCTCCCCTTCGCCGTGAACCCCAACCCCGCGCCCCTCGCCCCCTCCTTCTCGGCGTCGTCGCCGCCCGCTTTTGCCGCTCCCTATCGCCTCTTCTCTTCAGCGAGTATTCCTCTCCAAGACTCGATCCTCCTCTCGACTCGCCCATGCCCCGCCTCCATTTCGCGCGGCGCTCGAGGACTGACGGATTTTTGGGTTGGCTGTTGCAGGTGGTTCCAGCATGGTGGTCGTTGGCTCCGCGGACTCCTTCAACAGCATCCTTTCCAAGGTGCAAGGTACGGCGCCGATTTCCTCTTATCCCATTTCCAAACCCTGCTAGATGCTAGCTCGTCCTTGCCTCCTTTGGTATGTCTGGTGCTGGGTGATGAATTGGATCATGGTGGTGCGGACGGTTTGTTCGTTCTCTTGTTGTGCCTGACTGGCTGTGATCCCTGTGGATTTTGCAGATGAGAAGCTACCAGCCGTGTTCTACTACACGGCGGTGTGGTGTGGACCATGTAAGTACTGCCTCATTCTGATGCCAGCGTTGCCAAGTATAGGCTTCATTGATTGTGTGTCATAATTTTATTCTGTGATTGTGCCGCATAGGTAGGGCGATGGCACCTTTGGTTTCAAAGCTGAGCAGCCAGTATCCCAAGATACCCGTGTACAAAGTTGACATTGACATGGTAAGTCTGTAAATTTAGATTTTACTGCTACTGTGATATGCTAGAAATTGCCTGTTAAGTATGCACTGTTTGGATTAATATGGGGATCAGGAATACGAGTATCCAAAGTCACAGTTTGCTGCTTCTTCATCACCGCCACTTGTTTTCACTATACCAGTTTTAAGATCTCTGCTGTAGAGTTGTAATTGCACACTGGTGTGCTATTGTTTAGGTACTTAACCTCTAACTATTGGTTCTCACTAACCAATTCCAGTTCAAGAAGAAATGAAGAATACCCACAAGCTTTGTCCATATTAACTCTGTTTCATATTGCCTTTCTAGCATCGCAAATTTAAATTCAGATGAAATCTGTGCGAAAGTAGATTTTGGTATGTTTGATCAACGTTGTTACTACATCACTAAAGTTCTTTAGAACCAGGCTTCCTGTTATGCTATGAAGCATGGATACGGATATGCATATCAGTATCGGGAGGATACAGATACACAGATGTGGCATTTTCCCCAAAAGCCTGATAGGCAGTTATGTTTTAGCATTTCTTAAATAAATAAATAACTGTGCATAATAAAATTCTAAAACCAGGAGCAGCCTAGAAGGAAATAAGGAACATTGAAATTGCCACCAGTTTCAGTTTTTCTCTGTTCCAACCTAAGTACAGAATACTTATCAATGTATAAGCCAAACATCTCTATTTTGGGAGTGGAGAATTCGGCCGCTGTTGTTGATGGACATTACATCGAGAGGGAGGGATGGCCGGCCACGGTAGCCATTGCTGCTGTTCGGAGCTTGTGGGGAGAGCATGGGGAGATAGGTAAAAGAAGGAATGGAGATGGTGGAGATACTCAACGAAGGTTCACCTTGGGCTCCTTGGCTGCCCTGTGGAGCATAGAGTAGATGGCCATTGCACTGAGTGAAGAACACATGGAGCTTGTGGAGCTTGGCTGAGTCTTCGTGGCTCACCGCCGAGAAGTTATACAGCCTGCAACCTGCATGAGGCGGGTTGCAGCACTCTCGCAGACTGGAGGGCGGTGATACATGCGCGTCGCTGGTACATCCATTAGGGCAACAGCAAGGAAGAGATATCGGGAGCCGGAGGTATACTGGGACTGGGCGGTATCGGTAATCAGGGAGCCACGTATCAGAAGTTGTTTTTTATTTTTTATTTCCGATACGGTGTGGATATGTATCCACCGCATAACCATAGCCTATCTGTATCGGTTCCGATACGAGATGTGGCCTCCCCCTCAAATATACATAGCTGTTATGTAGATGACAGTTGCTTATTAGGTTTTGGACTAGAACCGTGTCCATAGTGGTTGTTTTCACATCAAAATGAATATTTCTTTAATACAATGGATACTGAAGTTCCATTGGTTTCCAGGAGACCAGGACAGAACTCATGCATTATAATGAAACAAACCACATGTTTGAAATTGTCAATTTATTCTTACTTCAGGCCAGTCCTGTTTATATTGTTGATAATGTGTTTTTTGTTTCCTGTCTTTGCTTTGCATTGCAGGAAGGACTGGGAAACAAACTCCATGGTCTAAATATATGTTCAGTGGTAAAAAAAAAATTATCGAACTTTAATTCATGGCATATTAATATTATAATAATTTTGATCTTGCTTGTTGTGCAACCTCCAACAATATGGTGTCATTGATGTGTTTGACTCTTCCACAGCCTACATTCCACTTCTATCACAAGGGGCAGAAAATTGGTGAAATTGTGGGTGCTGATGCAAAGAAACTTGAAGTTGTCATGGAAAGCCTCCACAAGTAAGTCCTTTGACTAACCCCTATTTTGTTGGCTGTTGTTTGGGTTCAGTTAAACATCAAATCAAAATAAACCTAGCTAAATTGAGTTTTGTAGCTACAAACAAAAGAAACAAAATCTTAGATGTTCTCGGCATTAGTATGTGATCAACATTCATACACTTGCGTCTAGTGCTTAGCTGTTACCCTTTGTCCCTTTGGCCATGGTCCTTAAACTGAAATAATACATTGGTTCTGCAGGCAGCAGTAGAAGTTTCAGAGAAGAGCCTCACATCAATGGAATGGTTTCCTACTTTCCTTCATCTACCTCGCATGAGAAGGGTTGCGCACCTTAGGATTTGTATTTTCTTATTATGTCATAGTGTTAATGCCGGTGTTTCATGTGAAGACATCATCAGATGCTTGTGATTCGTGCTGGCTTGTTTCAGAGTTTTGGATCTTGAGCATAGGCAACTTCGTCCAAAACTCGGGATGTTTCTCATGCAGTGAAATCTTTTTCTTTTTTTCTTTTTTTTTTGGACAAGGTTGCAGTGAAATGGTTTGAAAATGGGCCTCCATTTGTGCATGGATCTCGCCGCTGGCGATACGGTATATATTCCATATATATATGTTTAGCAGGGTATGCAGCGCTGCACTGCTGGTTCAAGCGTCAGGTGTTGGGTTCGATTGGGCTAAGCTTGCACGAACGTAGGCCTTTGTCACACTCGGAACACTGCACTGTCTGGGGCCTCTATTGCAGACCAGGTCAATGGGCTACTTGAGTCAGCCAGCATGAACGATTTTTTGCCACCCTGCAGGATGGTGTTTCGGTGTTTCCATGTGGTTTATTAGAATTTATGATGGTTGCATTCTTCGACCAACACCTTTGCTAATGATTGTCTGCTTGATACTACGGCGTTTTAGTTTTTCCTGGCAGCTACGTAGCGGAACATACCGTTGGCAGTCACTTAACATGACAGTGCGATACGCCGATACGGACTGTGGCATACGGAGTACGTTTCATACTGGCAGGCTGGGATGGATGTTTTCATCTCAGGCTCTGAGGCTCGTCAGTCTCGCTGAGCAGTATTCACTCTTCTGCCTGTTCATCTGATGAAGGATGCCACGCCACGGGCGATATCTCCAAAACTCCAAAGTTCAGATAACTAGTACAGGACGTGAGCACAGGGACACGTCCACACCGCAAGAGTGGATAGGCATGTAGACCGTCATATGTACGTACTCCCGTCATCCATGATGATTTCCAGGACGCATCAGAGATTATATGCAAAATACTGTAACATAGACATCTCACATCTCTCAAAAACACTAATGAACAGTATTAATACAATGCTAAACTGTACTAGAATATATTCTGTATACAAAATTTTGATTCCTATAGGATCTTTACTTCATGGGACGGAGGGTTAGGCGAGCGACAAACTCACAAGTCACGTAGTACTAGTAACATAGACCATTGCCAAATTAACACCATCCGATGGGATCGACCCTTTGCTCTCTTGCGCCACGTTTGGTTCTCTCGCTAACTAAAAACTCGCCTTGCCTTGCCTAGCTAAGCTAGCCTTGCCAGGACTAGAGAGTGGATTTGGCTTGCCTGGCTTGGAGAGAAAAAAGCTTGACAACACAATAACCGAAGCAGTGAGCAAACAAACCAAACTGACCCTGTGTTTGCCTAGCCAGGCAAGGCAAGGGCCAGCGAGGGATCCAAACAAGAGGCCCTTAATTTGCTGTCCCAAACAGGCTCTTACTTTGTTCCGTAGTATTTATCTTCTACCACCCACCGCCACCGCACCTCATCTCCGATCCCATCCAATTCCCCACATGGCTCCGCCTCCTTCCCCCTCTCATCCCCGGCTCCTTCCGATGAAGCTCAACCTTACACCGATGAGGGCCGGACAATGGAAAAGGCCACCACCTAAAGCTTCTTCCCTGGAATAGCAATGGCGGGATGATATCAACATGTGCCTTAGAATCAAGCTATCCCCCTCACCCCCAAACCCTCTCATCTCACGAGAAGGAGAGCACTCGCACTACCATGGGAAATGTCGTCTTGATGGTGGCCGTTGTACTTGGCTTGAGCCTAGCTGGCGCCTGGGTGCTCGAGGCAGCCTACAGGACATGTGTGGCCACCATCCTAGCCTTCACCGCAAGAATCAAATGGAGGTTTTCTCAGGCTGGTGACAAAATACATGTGATACTCAACAATTCTATAATCAAATGCATGATGGACACAAAATCAAAGCTCTCCATTTAGGGGGGCTCTAGGGGCCCGGTAGCGGTAGGGGGCTCAAGCCCCCCCCCCCCCCGTGCTCCCTGCCCCACCGCTGGATCCGCCCCTGGTTAGTAGTCACTAGACATGACAGTGTTATACACTGATACGTATGGTGTCGTATAGACATCCACACTCATACTACCAGGTTGGGCTGGACGTTTTCATCTCAGGCTCGCTAGTCTCGCTGAGCAGTGCTCACACCTCTGCCCATTGGCCTATTCAAATGGAGGATTCCAAGCCACGGGAGACATTGTGGCAGAACCGTCTAATCTAATGCCTTCCAGGAGTACTTGTCTTTCATTAGACACTAAGTACTCAAGGGAGGACACTAAATTACACAGTTCCATCGATCACACCCCAAGAGACAATGCGAAAATCCACATTTTTCCATCAAGATCATAAATGAGAGAATAAAGCTTACAATATTTTAGCCATTTCTTACATCATTTTTCATATAACATCAGAGTATAATATTTATTATTTATAATAGCGAAATATGAACATGTTATCAGACTTATGAATAATTTAATTTAACAGTGAAATATAAACATGTGATCAGAGTTACAGCGGAAATAATTATCTATTCATGACATGATGAAACATCGATATATAAACTATGACAACATATTATAAAACTTCTATTTATAAAAACATTTAGTGAGAGTTATAAATAAAGACTATGATCGCAGCGTAAAAGAATTCTCTCTGAGCCCATCAGGAGGAATCCACACACAAGGGTCAGCTCTAGCATTCGCCTGTCACCTGCAACATAATAGAACAAACCTTGAGTACTCAATTGTACTCCGCAAGACTTATCCGTCAGGAGAAAAAAAACACTAAGGATATGCAAGGCTATCTGGCTTGTGGATTTATTCCATCTGCAGGAGCATTACTAAATGTGCGTCCTTATATTTAATTTTATTAGCAGTCATCATTAGTTCATTAACTAACCATTCTATGTAAGCACATGTACTACTTTCATATTCCAGTTCTTACTACGATGCTAGATGTAGACAAGTCGTACCGGATCACCCAACAATTCATAAACCAATGTATCCCAGCTAGGTACCCTGAAACACACACCCCGCTTATACCCCAGGCACAAACAAGACCAACTCACTACCCTCCTATCACGAGGTCTAGGTCCCTGTCCAAACTTGGACTCCAAGCCCCCGCTCCTAAGTCTCGGACTCAGTGCGGTGCTTAGACCTCCACCATCCCCGCCTTCAATCAGTTAATCCAGAAAGAGCCAGAACCCATGACAAGAGAGCAATGAGTCTTTCCACACCCATACACAAGTATGTGTTCAGGATAATAAGTCTGTAATCTACCTAGAACCCAATGCAACGGCCGGTCCTTAACCGACACAGGCGGAACAAATGTAATCCGAGCCTCGCTCGAATGTCAAACCAAGTTCAGATCCAAAGTACCATTTCACCCGGTCTTCAATTATTATTCATATATATATTCTAGGTGATAATAATATCTTTCCTATCTCTCATGAGTGACAGACAATCACCCGACTTCTACCGGAGTCCTGTAGCATACCAATCTACACGATCCTATCATACTAGTAAGACTCATAGAATAAAGATATATATATATATGCAAGTGGGTTTCATTTAACTCCTTAAAATTTAATGCACAAGCATAAATTAAAATGCAGAATAATATGGGTTATGCACCGGGGCTTGCCTGGGTAACATAAAACCAAAAGTTAGTATTCCATCTTGACGACACGGTTTCTAAAAGTACCATCTCACCAGCAACTCCCGATGACTCCACGATCCATCGTCGTCCCTATTATGGCATGCAATGCAATGCAAAGATAATGCAACAGTTAATTAACAAGGCAATAACAACTCTTAAAATAGAGTAGATACTACGAACTAACAAGCTAGCTCTAATGACTAAAGTACTAATCTACGTATCAACGTTGTCGAGAAAGGTGTCGTTTCCCAACAAGTGTTTTAGTTATGCAATTCCAAGGTGTTTCTTTATTTCATTTATTTGATTTACTATATATTCAAACTAGGGCTCATTTGCTATCTTAGCAATTTAATTACTCTGCAGCTACAAAAATTACCGAGAACACCTGAAAACACTTCTAACCTACTGTGAAATTTTTAGAGCTAACACTATCACCGATTTATCACGAAAATTCCTACAAATTTATGTCTTAACAATATTAAGAATGTTAAAATAATTAGAGCAACCCTAAAAACATACATAACCTATGTGAACGAAATACCCTATCAGATAGATCATGATTTTAGAAACTTAGCAAAATTGGTTTGGCATTTTTGTGATTTTCTACACTTTTTGGCGGATTTACGAAGTTTCTGCAAATAAGAAAAAGGAAAAATGAAATTTCCTCCAGGCACTGGGCTACGCGGCCAGCCCGCAGCCGCGGTGTCCCAGGCGCACAGCGTGCACACGTGGCCCAGGCGTGGGTGGCACAAGGCCGGCCCAGATGGGGGGCGCGTGTAAGGACGAGATGGCGGACTAGAGAGGGGGTGAATAGTCTTTTCTCAAATTAATCGCGTCGGCTAACCGATATAAATGCGGAATTAAAACAATCGGTCTAGCCAAGACTACACCCCTCTATATATGTTCACTAGCACCTTGCAAAGATACTAATAAAGCAACTAAGGTGCCGGGCTAGCTAGAGCTCTCCTAAACAATTCTAGGAGCAAGGTCACACAAACCTATGCCACTAGTACTTTAAGTAACAAGGGAGCTCCTACACATGCTAGTAAGCAAAAGCACAAAGCTAACTAAGCTCACTAGCAATGCTCAATAACAAGGCAACCAATGCCTAATTAGAGAGCGCAAATACTTAGCTATACAAACTAAGCAATGTGACTAACAAGGTTACTAAAACCAAATTAGCCACGCAAGGGAGCTACTTCTATGCTACACAAGCAAGAAGGTAATTAGCTAGCTACACAAGCTATCTAATTACAAGAGCAACTACA